TTCAAGCCGCATTAAGGGCTTTTCTAGCTACAAGCCGCTTTTGACATAGCAGAGAATTGCCGCTCGACACGAATATCTTGACAAGTCTCAGTTTGGAGTTGAGTTGTTTCTAAAAGTACCGTGTCCCGCTGGCGTAGCTTTTGCGCTCAGACGATGGCTAATTTTTCGGTGATAAATATTCTATTTCCTTACCTGAGAACTTTTAGTGTTACTGCTGATCGCTCTCCTCAAACAACTCCTAAGCTCTGCCGTTTGAAGGTCCCAGAATTTCGTTCGTCTGGAGTTACTTCGATTTCATTGTCACTAATTTCTTCTGATTTATGCATCTCAAGATAGGGTTGTAGAGGGAGTGTAGCTCTAAGTAATGTACTGCTACCTACGTACGTATTGGCGGTCAAGTCCCATACCGAATCTTACCTAGGCCTGCCAAGCTTTCGTGATTAATTGGTCAGGATTGTCTGGGAGGATAATAACTTTTACTGGCACATGGGCTGGCCTGGTATACAAAGCACAAGCCAAATTTTCTCCAAAAAGTCACTGTGAATTATTTGAAATAGAATCCGTGGCTCGAATTCCTTGTTCGATCTTCTTGGAGACACCACTTCCCTGGCTCACGAACCCCCCGCGTTAGCCGTATTTTGACCTCCCCACCGCACAAACTCCGCTCCCAACCCCTGAATCACACATTTTTGTTATTATTTATTGAATTTCATTTACCATATGTTTCCCCCATTGTACCATTCCACTCCTTTATCTCGTGGCTTTTCCCAAAAAGGGATTATTTCTGTTGAATGTTTCTTCTCTTTTGAATGGTAGTGTGGAGGTCCAATTTCTTGTGTTATGAAAAAACCAACCTTCCAATAGCAAGCTGATAGCCCAGACAGAAGAATAACCCGGCGAGAATTTTTTTTGTTACTAGTATGACTCATAATCTTGTTGTCGCTGAGGGATAGCTAGAGAGGTCGAGGGAGACTTAATAACGAATGGATACTATGGTCGTCGTCATCGTGTTTAATCCTACCTGCTTAAGTGTTTTCCTTACGTAGGAAAGGCTCGATCGAACGAGTCATCAATGGTTTGCCTCATAAAAAGCTCTTTTCATCGTAGCCATCTATGAGCATACAAACTGCAATACTTTGCCAATGATATTCCAAGATCGACTTTGTCTTAGTTTTGGCGTAGGTATATTGAAGTAAATAGTTATGATAAAGCCTCTTTAGGGTTACAGCAATTTATTAGGCTTACGTGCGGCCTATTTGCCTCCGTCAGTGCCTGAAAAATCGAGAACTTCTGAGTCCCATTACCCAAAGAGCCCAAACATCCTAGGGACAAGTTCAGAATAGCAACTTCCTACGAGACATCGACGGTCGCAGAGTGCTGTGGGGCTTACTTATGTCTTCGTTATGAGGCGGAAGTTCGACCATCCAGAGTAGACTTTCGGGTGGAATTAGCATGCGTAGGCGCTGTCCCAAGCTACGGGGGCGTTGTGGTAGTAATGCATTTGAAGTCGCGTGAATCATCTCCTTTTTCTTAAATTCCGGGAATAAGTCATAAGCGGGGAAAGTTTCTTAATTTTTCCGAGGTCTCTGCCAATTCCTAGGCTTAGTGCTGGAGAATGCTCCCATATTTTGCGATAGCGCCGCATTTCCACCCTCACCTCATGGTCTCAAAGGAAATAATTTTTCAGGCTGTGACGAAAGCGAAGAGGATTGGAAACCGCAAGGACATAATAAAATGGTGTTAATCTTGAAAGAGGGGTTTAAACAGTAAATTCTCTTCGGACACGTCATTGCTTTTTGAGGGATCTAATCTCATTTAGGGTAATGATTAAGTAACTAAAGTAATACGAAGGTTATGTGGTTGAGGCTCCAAAAAGTTACGGTTTAACTTTGGAAATTGGTTTGTGTTCCGGTAGGGCGAAACCATTTGCGCGAATTTTCTTGTTTATTTCGGCAAAATGAACCTCGAATACCAGAAGGATAGAATGGAATTCGCGGAGTGACTCATAAAAAGTAGCAGTAGCAAATGATTCTGTGACTAAAGGCGGCATAATGGTGCATAGAGGGGGAATTGCCATAGAGAACGATGCGTTCACAAAATCGTAGAGGGAGCGTCACTAAAATCCAGACAAGTTTGAAGTTGAGAGAACAAACTGGTTCATCCGTGCTCCATACTAACCTCTAACCTTCGTGCTTTCGCAGGAAAGTTCGCAGTATGGTGGCTGTCGTGGTTACATAAAAGTTTTGAATTTACCGTAACCACGCTCAGTGGTTGAGGGCACAGTTTCGATTGGTGTGGTGGCATTCTATTCGTCATTATTTCGGTCATTCATTTTGTCGCTCCCTTTGAATGATAGTTTGAACAATTTACCATTTGAAACTGTTCATTTCTATCAAATTGGCTCTTTCTAAACGTTATGAAAATTCGAAGTGGAACTATATTCGATGCTGTTGCCTTTTTTGAATTCTGCTAGACTTTCGCCTACCCGAAAGGAGGCCCGTCGCGCGGTTAGAAGGCAGAACGGGTGACGCAGACGGGTCAGCGCACGAAGTCGCAGCGCGTGTTTGTGCGATCTAGGACACACTATAACACTTATTTAATTTGACGTAAGGTCGGCTACAGTACGGCGCTGCGGACTTGCTTCCGCTGACCAGTGCCCTTGCGTCTCTTTTTGCCTTTCCCGCCGTGTCGAGGGGCCTCTGTTCGTACCGATACTTTTCAGTTTTGGCTTTCTTTTTTTGTTTTACTACTTATCACCCGATCCACACCGCATCACTTCCTGTCAATCATCACCACTCATTCGGCTTTTCTCGAGCAACTTGAAATGGTTGAAAGCACTTTTATTTACTGGCTTGACATAAATAACCACATGGGTTAAGAGTTACGTTCACGTTGAAAATAATCAAGCGTTTTCAATCAATTTGAAATGCGAGTTCAAGCAAAGAAATTCTGGTAGCTTTTGCCAATGAAACGGTACACTTTTTCTGTTTCTCTTTTTTAATTGCTAAAAACTTAGTTTAGCGGTTTGGAGTTTCTGGAATGTTCAGCTCTTGAGGTGAGAATCCTCGACTGATATTCACCCTGGTCCCAGGGCTTTACCCGTTCTCTAAACGTCTGTGCTACCCGCCCTTTCTGTAGGGTTTTTTTTTAGAATTTAGAGGGGACATTGCATTTCACAAGAGAAAGAAGAGGTCCATCTGAGTGAGGGGAAAGGGTTTTATATGTGATGGTTCGTACTGCTTACAAACATTTCGCTTTCTCTCATCTCCTAAATTAGGCGACTTCTCTTGCCGTAAATTTGGCTAGCACTACATTGGCGGTTTTGCACAATTATTGTTCCTTAATATTTCCATTTTGTTTTTTTTTCTCAAAAATATTCATTATTGTACTAGAAATGAATGAAGTTTTAGGGGTAAATATTCAAGTGATAAATTAACTCAAATACTGCGGTGTTGAATAGATACGAACCCTAGAATATTTTCTCCGTGAAATTCCTTGAGCCGTTTATCCACGTCAAGTTTATCCGCGGCTTTTCCTAAGACCGTGTTTCATTAATGTCGACATTCGACGTTTGACGTCAAATATTTCTTTCGCTAGTAATTTTTCTCGTAATCATCGAATGTGTGTGCTTGTTTGCCGTGTTATCGTAGTGCACATGTGGAAATCGCTTAAGTAAGTGAAATATGTTTGTCAGACTCCGCCCTCTGTCGTCGGTCTCTACGTATCCCACGCACATGTCTCCCTATATTCTTCGTTATTCTCTTTGCTGAATTGCTTCATAGTTTTATCATATACACTATTATTTGACCGTCGTAACGGATCGGTATGGATCCCAAAATACATCCTACTCAAGTAAGTTCCTGTCAAAGTTTCCCGCAAAAGGTGTTCGCTGGTAAATGCTGGTATGAAAATTATGTATGAAAATTTTTTAAAAAATTGTGACTAGTAATTCTTTCCAACAACGCAATGCCCTAGCGGTGAGGAGGCTAAATTTTTCTGGGAAGGGGGATGAGATCGAAAAGAAGCTCCCCACGACTCCATGGAGATGGCTCTGACGTAATTCTGCCGTAGTGTGTTTTCCTTCCTGAAAAGATTTTCAGCATATTTTCATTATGGCTTCAGCTGAGTTGTTCATTCCGGCTTAGCGGAATCCATTCAATATCCTCGTATCAGCAGCTGTGAAAGTGTTCGCAAAGGGAGCGCCGTGTCATTCGAACAGAAACGAAGCGGACATCGTTTAAGTGTTTGCTGTTCGCCATTTGACCGTAGCGAAGGTTCAGCGACGATGTGGGAGCGTCAGACTCTATGCTTTTTATCCTAGCTCGTCAGACTCCCATAGAAGTCGCTCCCCTTTTGGGTCTTCTTAGGTGAAACCTAGATTTGAGTGGAGAATTTCTTTCGCGACGATGAGTTCAGATCCCCATGAGAAACCTCTAGGTTTGTAGAGTTGATAGCTGGATCCGTGTAGGTGGGAATCCATGTGGGAAGCCCCTATCGAGATCTCCCCTTCGCGTCTAAATTCGTGTCATATCTCACAGCGCCGGCTAAGGAAACCTGTTTCATGCGGCAACTACTCCAGGATCAGATGTATAGTGCGAGAGTCAGACCGAAATAAGGGAATTGCCATTTTTAGAAGCGGCATAAACTACAAAGCAGAATAGCATAAACAACAAAGGGGTGGAAAAGTACAAGTAATCAAAAATTGTGATTTGGTCTTTGGGAATTATGGGGTGCGGTCACGGGTGGTCATCGAGACTGGAATTACTACCATTGTTGCCAGTACATCACAGTGCGACATCAGGTTCGCATTCCGTTGGAATGTTATGTCGCTTATCCTTTTGTTATCAGTGTATCCGATATTCCGGCGCTGGCTAGATAGCAGGTCAAATGGAGTCGAATCAGTGAATCAGAATAGACATCCTGTGTTTTTCCATAGTTCAACTACTGAAAGCTTCTTCTTAGGGTTTCTACTCTAAGCGGTAATCCAAACTCAGACCCGAATGGCATATCACACAAATGAAGAGGTTTGAGTTGTAATGATGTCATGGAAACTGAATTCACTCTAATCCTCCTATTTTGTTCAGGACAAAGAGGCGGCTCGTCCGCTATCGGCCGTCTTCCGCGTTGAAGGCAACGGGGTGAATAAGGTAAGAAATTTACTTCATCGAACAGTTTGCCAAAATTTTTGATTACTCACTGATTACTATCATTTTTCTGATCTGTCTTATGGAACTAGTGTTTCCATGTCCAATAACTGCAATTATGCATTTTGTAGTTCTTATTTTTACGCAATTTGGTAATTTATGATGTTCTCTGTTTGGTTCTGACGAACTTCACACATTCGACGTCAAAAAGATCGCTGGCGGCAATCATGTGAAGTTGATTTCAAATAGTTCAATAACCTGTATGAGAGGTAGTTCATGGGTCGATTAACGCGCTGAACGGCTGCATGACGCGCATGCGCGTCAGGTTTCCTCACGGAAGGGTCAATACGTTTTGCTAATCGTTTGCTGTAAATTCTTGTCTCATGGGCCAGAAAGCAGTTCGTCTACACTATCGGATCCGAAAATCTCAAATGCCCTAACTGTAACGGATTATTGAGGGTACCCTAGTTTAGTGGAAAAATATTTTAATGTATGTGGAACGAAAGCCTCAAAGGGCTATGGTCAGTGTGATGACTTTGTGATTTGCGCCACATCCAAAGATGAAGAAGCATACCATTGATTGCATACCATATCGCGTTCAACCTTTTGTGCCCCTCATTGGTACTTACTTTGGGTTTAATGTGCCAATATTTAGTCCAATAAACAGGTCCCGAAAATCTGGGTTTTGTTGGTCTTCAGAGTCACTTACATACAGCTCAGCGACAGTGCAAGCCATTTACCAGGTGCATCACCTTCGAGGATGGCTATCATGAATAGCTGTCGAAGAGTCAAGCTCTCAAGATTCAGCTGCATCTTGAGATTTTGCGCCTACAAAGCGCTGGAAGCTAGCGAGTTTGACTGCATTTCGAATGAATAGTTGAGCGCTGCGGATGAACCAGCACAATGCAGCGCGTCTCGTATTATTATATTATATCATTTTGGGCAGCGACAAGCACTATCGAGCCCCGATTAATTTAGAACCCTAAAATTTTTTTTATTCTTTTATCTAACCTTTCTATGAAATATGATACCTATGCAGGTGCCAACACTATCGAGCAGTACAAAGAAGGACATCATGATTGAAACCTTGAGTGCAGAAAATGCTTCCGCTCATGAATTGTTGGTTAGTTTCTTAGGTCATCTTCACTTTCTTCCCTGCACACTTCTTTATTAATTGCTTTGCATTACTTATTTTGTTCACACAGCACTGCGTTCATATGTTACGTTCGGATGCATCTTCTGGAATATCATCAGCCGAGGCAACGTTGCGGAGGCAGTATCACGGGTATAATGAGTTCGAAGTGACAGAGCAGGAGCCGTTATGGAAGAAATACTCCGAGCAGGTGCTCTCGTTTGGTTTCCTCTTGAAGTTCTTTTCACTGAAAATCTCCTTTGATTGTTTCTGTTTTCAGTTCCAAAATCCCCTTATCCTTTTACTGCTTGCCAGTGCGATCGTTTCGCTTCTGATGCGGCAGTTCGATGATGCTATCAGTATCACTGTAGCTGTAGTGATTGTAGTGACAGTAGGATTTGTCCAGGTACAGGAATTTTCCGTTCGGCTAATCGGCAATAATGGCTCGCTGCGAATTTTCTCGAACTTCTTCTTTTTAGGAGTATCGGTCGGAGAGGACGTTAGAGCAGCTGAATAAACTGGTGCCACCTGCGTGCCACGTGTGAGCTATAAGAATTTTCAGTCCTTTCCCATTCTCTTTTTATAGGTCCAGCCGCACCCATTTTCATCACAGACATTTTTCAGAGTACGTGATGGAAAGGAATATTCATTATTAGCTCGTGAATTAGTGCCTGGGGACGTGGTACTGCTGAACACCGGTGAGACCGAGTACCGGCTGACGTGCGCCTACTGGAGGCGTTCTCACTACAAATCGATGAGAGCTCATTGACTGGAGAAACGGAACCTAAGCACAAGGTAAATGAATCTAGCGCTACGTGATTCCATGGTTTCAAAAAGGGAGGTCTCCATTAAAGGACCAACGCGGAGAAGGAAACCATACCTAGGAAGAGACAGGCGGACCCCCCTAAAGTCGGAGCCCGACACGCATTCACATACGAAAGGATACTCCCGCCACTAATAGTAGGGGCCTTTCGCCGCGAAGATCCCGTTCGGGGCGCCAAGGCGGTTGCCCCCCCCCTCCCCTTGCTCGTTCGTGTGTGTCTCAGAGCCGTCAAAAGAGCAAGTAAATACGTGTAGTGGAGCAGCAGCGATGATCGCACAATGCGCGAATCAATCCAGGCAAGCAGCATCCATTTAACAGGTTCTGCCATTTTCTCGGTTTTATTCTCGTCGGCATCACTGCCATCTCTAACCAATTCTAATGGGCATAGGTTTGAAAAACCTCCATTCCCACCAGTAGAACACATAGTACTAGGTTTAGAGCATTGAAGAGGAAATAGGGATTAAACGCGGAATTGCCTCTTCGACCTTCCTTGCAAATCTGTGATTCTCGGTCGGCTAAAAGCAATAGAGCCGATCACAAAAGGGGACAGTCATAAATTTTATAGCCTTTAAAAGTAATTGGCGGTTCGTGGTTGTTTTTGAGTGACCATTTCATTGCCTTCTAACACTAGGTAGTAAAATGGCGTTAATGTTCAAGTTGCTAGCTATTAAGATACTTATGGTTAGGTCTTTGATAGTTTCCACTTTCGGAAAGCATTTTTTCCTCGGCCACAAGGATGAATGACTGCGGCGACTGCGGTAGGGAACGAGCTTATGTAAGTGTGTATAGGAGCTTTTGGCCCTGGTGGTTCACAAATGGGGTGGAGCCCAAGAGGTGCTGCACTATGGCCGATGTCATAGTTTGAATCGCTGGATCCGAGCGTGCGCTAGCGAATCGAACGTTGCACCAGCGAGTCGAACGATGTACCAGCGACTCAACACTGTTTGAAAGTGGCGGGACCCAACGTTCTAAGGAAGGCCCGCCACTTCCAAACAGATTGGTCCTTTGAAGTGAACTTATTTATTTATTTATTTATTTATTTATTCTTGGTCAATCACAGAAGGGCAATACACAGTAATTATCCAGTATTTCACATACGATTGACTTAGGTGAGATTATCTGAGAGGGAAACTTTCTAATAGGAATAGAAATAGAAAACTCCATAAAGGCTACAACAGTTAGTGCCACTTAGTTTTACTGAGCAATATTTTATGCACCGATACATTCATGTAGACCGAAAGGCACTTGTTTTAGAGAACCACTAGCCACCGAGCCCTGAAAATAACCGACGCTGAGGCCGCAGCACTACAAGGGCGGGTGCATTTGCACCTCTTTGATCTAAACACGAACCCCAGGAGCTGGCTCAGGGGTGCTTACGAAGGCTATCTACTGGTGCGCAAAAGTGGTTGACGTTGGATGGAGCTATATTATTAATAACGGTCCATATGAATGAAATCAGCGGATAGCGCATTGCTCAAGGGAGACAAAAGCATTTGGATGGCACTTGAAGGGGATGAAAGTACAGAGCTTATGGAGTTTTATTTCTTCCTATTAGAAACCAGCAATCATCAGGGGGTGTAGAGCTACAACTATGTTACAGATACAGTCAGAATTTCTTTTCTCCTTTGGTCAGAAGAAAAAAATTAATAAATGATCAATATAAGAAGCGTCCAAATTCCCGGCCGATCGTAACCACTAGTTTGAACCATAGAACACCTATGACTGAAAGACGACAAAATGATCAAAAAAGCACGGTAGAAAGAAAATAAAATGGATATAAGAAATCCAAGAAACTTCCTCTAAACGTGGTCCAGCCACCCTCAGACCAGTTCGAGTCGGCTGAGATTTCGTTCGAGTCGCTGGTACATCGTTCGACTCGCTGGCGCAAGCTCGGATCCAGCGATTCGCTAGCGAATCGCAAGATTCGCAAACTATGACATCAGCCTATAGAAAAATGAACAAATGGAATAAAAAAGGGAACTTTAAAATAGAACACCGATACACGAACGTAAGAGGTTTTTTTTTTTGACTTTTTAGCGGGGGAAGCCGCCTTTTGGGACCTTTTATAACACTTCGTTTTCCCTTTGTTTTCTATTGGATCCAGAATGGAAAGAAAGCGTTCTACGTAAAGCGCTGTAACGTTTTTTTCGGTACAGAGACTGCGCGATGCACCCTACAACGTGGCGGCCATGTTTACACTTGAATAAACTCGCACTTTAAGCACGACTGTTGCAGGAAAGCAGGGTTAGCTAAGCAATTCTACTCACTTTCCTGTTAAAATAGTATACTAGCCGTGAACAGCTTATAAATTAGCGTGTTGTTTTTACGCAAGAAATAAAAAAGTAAAGTATTATAAACCTTCGCATCAGTTAATGTCCAGGAAGCAATCAAGTGGTCAATTGGTGCTGCTATAGAGGCCAAAACACAACGGCGCTCATCGTCGTTGGGGAAAGAGCGGGGGGGGGAGACAAAAAAGAGGGGGAGTGAGTAAATTACATGTGCCTGGACCGAAGCCTACGAGGAATTGGACCTGGAGGAGGACAGGCGAACTCCCGGCGTTTCCACCGCTTTGAACTAGTCCATGCGATCGTAACCGCATCGCCCTGTTTCCCCCCTCCCCAATGATCTATACGCCGCCACGAAAACGCTACGAAAAAGAAGTTAATAATAAAGCTTTCACCTCTATTAAAAATACATATCATGTCCATTTTTTTCAGTGTTTGCCTATTAGAGAGATTCATGTTCACTTTTTTTCAGGGTTTGGTTATCTCTACAGCAGCAAATTCGCAATTTGGAGAGGTATTCCGGATGATGCAAGGAGAAGAGGTTCTGTTTATTCCCGCAACAACATTGGTGGTACCTTCGCGTACACCTAACCCCTCCGCGCTCGCCCCGATGCACCCCTTGCTTCGATTCTTCCTCCATCGAGGTCCAATCTCCGCCATTTGTTATGGCAACGAAACAATGTATCATCACAAGATATCGGCGGTGATATCCTCATCAAGATATCAGCGGTGATCATCATCAGGGATCGAGATATTAGTGAGAAATTGTGAACAAAAGGTATGGGTATATGCGCAGACAACCGCTGTCGTCAATACCGAAATGGGATTTTTCATGAATCTCGTAAAATTTATCCTCTATACTTAGAATATGTGCACCCAGGAATTTAGAAGTGTCTACAACAGGAGCAAAGCTCTCTCTGTAGTCTAAGTCAACCATAAATGTCGCATGACAGGAGCTAATTTTGCATCTTTTTTCTAGAAAAATTCGATTTTTGAGATTCCTGATGTCTAACAGTGTGCTTGTTCTATGTGCACATGGTGCACTGGTGGTAATTTGATTACATGCAACGTTTAATGGCGCCTTTTCCAGCTAATTAATACGAGAAAAACGCACACCGCTTGTCGTTGTGACAAAGTAGTGTTAGAAGTTGAGCACAAGGGAGTAAATTCTTCCTAAAATTTACGTGGGAAAGGTGCAATTGAAGAATCAGAAATAGCAAGTTGAATAAATGTACTGTAATTGAAAATTGTATTGTAACATTATATTGTAAGCGCTCAAAGTGTCGTTCGGGTTGAAAGAGCCAGTCACAGTAATTGGGACTGAGCATTAGAAACAGGGGCCCTGTGGGTGGATGTGAGCGATTTTCGTTCTCCCTGGCGCTTCCCCTGGAAGGTTTATCAAGAAAAGGTTCTCCAGAAAGCTGCGATTCTCTGGAAGCAGAATTAAAACAATTGTGTCATTTTACATGAGTTCGCTTGGGCCCATGGGCCAATATAACGATTCACTTCTTCGAGACCAGTATCGGCTGTTTTCTGGCGAAGGATTCGTGGTCTGCCTACAGTCCGAATTCGGATCAGTTAGACTTCTCTGTTTGGGTTTTATTGAAGAACTACTAAAGAATTGAAATGCAAAAAGTTTGGTGATTTTGAAAGAACTGCCTAAAATTCGGAATGAATAATGCGATGAACACCTCCGCCGCACCATCGACTCGCTGAAGAAACAATTTGAGGCCTGTATCAAAACTGATGGCAGCTACTTCAAAACTTCTTTGCACTTATAAAATGTCATGATTTGAGGTTTCATGAAATTAATTACTTTCAAATTTTCGAGGACAAGGAATAAAGTTCGGACGTGTTTTTGGCGCACGTAATTTTTCGCCACCCTGTAGTAAGCGAACATATTTGAAGCATTTTTTTAGCTGTGTTGAGTGGCCAATCTCATTCTAATTTTTGGACCTTTTCGTGAAGTTGGTAACTTCCAAGGGATGTGTATATTGGTTGGTGTTAGCACGCGCATCAAAGTGTGCAAGCAGGAGCGCGCACACCTCCTTCTTCTGCGCGATTACACACACCTTCTTCTTCTCCTTTTTCACGAAGGAAGGTGTGCATAATCTCACAGAGCTACGATCCCAGGTCTAAATACCGAATATTGCTGGTGAGCTCAGATGGCATAGTGCCAAGAAGTGGCTCAATTAGTGTATTTCTCCTGAATCCTATTCAGAAAAAGTTTCCGTCTTTGTTGGTTCAATTGTTCAAGAAAAGCTTAACAGACGGCAACAGTAGACAGAAAATTTCAATATGGTTCCGATCATCTCTACTATTTCTAGAGGTTGTTAAAGCGCGGCGCAATTCAAGTTGTTAGGTCTACATTCCGATGACAATATATCCTCTGCTGCACTTTACAAGTTGACAAAGCTAATAATTTTAGTCCCCGAAAACGCCGTTGCAAAACAGTATGGATCAACTTGGAAAACAGTTATCATTCTACTCGTTCGGTGTCATCGCCCTGATTTTCGTCATAGGATTAATACAAGGACGTAATGTGCTTGATATGTTCACCATAGGAGTGAGGTAGGTTCTGAATATGTCCTTCCA